CTCCCCAGGTCAGCAGGCCCCCATCACCTCTTCTGCCCTCTCCACCCTAGCCTCCAGGGCTATTTTGGGTGTGTACCAGTTGGGGTTAATCTCCTTAAGCGTTGAGCCGTGCTGCTCAGCGCACTCCTGATAGGGCCCAGCCCTCTGCAAAGGGCATTCTGAGGCTTAGGCCACCGGTCTTGGGCTTTCCTGGCTCTGTGGCGATACCGTGGACACTGAGCTGTGAACTAGAACTGATGGGGGAGGGGCTGCTGAGGCTGTGCAGGCGGTGGGAGGGGACGGTCAGGAGGGCTCAGGCCTGGCCGCTGCTATTAGTAGGGTGTTTTGGGTTTGCTTCTCAAGTTTACCTCTAGGGAGAGCTTTCCTCCACCCACCCCCCACCCCCGCCCTCCCAAAGCTCAGCTGCCCCTGCCCCTGGCTGGATACAGGCGCTAATCCCCAGCCCCTGGTAACACCAGGGGGAAGGGAGGGGGAGGCAGCCTGGAGATTTTCTTTCCCACTTGGGAAGGAAAGAGGACACACAAGTTGACCAGTTGGGATCCGGTTCCTGCAACCTGAGCCAAGGACAAGAGTTTCACTGAACTGTTGGCCAGGGGCTTTGTCTTCTACCTGGGCTGAAGGAGAGTTCCAGAGGATCAGGGCGGAGCTACACTGGCTGACAGCTCTGGCCCTTTAAAGGGAGGGAGAGAAGCTGGGGTCAATGCTTCCAAGTCCCACCTCCACCCTCCTCCACCCCCCTGCTAACATTCACTCAACAAACTGAGGCTGAGGGTCTGCTGTGTGCTGGGCCCTGTGTTTGCATTTTGCCCTCCAAATCACACAAGCTGGTGAGTGAGACAGCCCAAGAAAACAGATGATTATACAAAAGTGATGTCCCGAGGGCTTTGGTACAGGCTGGCATTAGAGTGCTCAGACAAGGTGCCTGACCTAGCCTGGGGATCAGGGAAGACTACCTGGAGGAAATGGTGCCTGAGACAGGCAGGACAAATAGGAGTTGACCTGGAATAGGCATGGGTGGAGTATTCATGAAAAAGTAGGTAAAGAACCAGGAGGATCTCTGGAGTATCCCAACCCAGGAAGGGAGGCCCTGGAGGGAGAAGCAGGCCAAGGGCCCTTCTGCAGCCTAGACTCACTTTGCACAATAGTCAGAGTATGAATCTTGGGGCTCTCCTTCTGGGGAAAAGACAGACCTTAAGACTGTCTTGGCGGGGCATGGTGACTCACAGCTGTAACCCCAGCACTTTGGGAGACTGAGGCAGGTGGATTGTGAGGTCAGGAGTTTAAGACCAGTCTGACCAACATGGTGAAACCCCAGCTCTACTAATAATACAAAAATTAGCCGGGCATGGTGGTGTGTGCTTGTAATCTCAGCTACTTGGGAGGCTGAAGCAGAAGAATGCCTTGAACCCGGCAGCGGAGGTTGCAGTGAGCCGAGATCATGTCACTGCACTCCAGCCTTGGTGACAGAGTGAGACTTTTTCTCAAAAAAAAAAAAAAAAAAAAGACTGTCTTAAGGCCTACCTCTCACTGTTGGTTTTTTCCTTTCTTTTTAAAATTTTATTATGAAAATTTTCAGACATACATACAAAAACAGAAAAAATACTATAATGAACACTCATGCAGACCTATCACTCAGCTTCAGCATCTATCAACTGGTGGCCAATCTTGTTTCATCTGTACCTCCACCCAGATTATTTTAAGGCTAATTCCCAAAGCCAATAAAATTTTCCCATAAATGTTTCTGAGTTTTTGTCTAGAAGAGAAGAAGCCTTTAAAAAGTATATCTGCAATACCGTTATCACACCTAAAAGAAATTAACAGAAATTCCTTAACAGCAGCCAGTACCTAGTCAGGATTTACTTTCCCTAATCCACACTTAGTTTTAATAGCAATGTTGGTGGGGGAGTGTGGGAAAAATAGCAACGTTCCTACTCGCGGGGGTGGGGAGATGAACAATTAGATGTTCATCTATTGGCTGATATAATATGTTCATCAATAGATCAGCCAATATAAGAGTTGTGGTCTCTACTCTGTAACACTCTCTGATAGTTCTATACATGTGTGTTTTGAATTAGATTACAAATTCTTCAGGGCAGGGACTGACATTACTGTCTTTTTTGCACCCTGGTATGGCAGCAAGGAAGAAGCACTGATCTCAACTAATTAGCTGTGTGACTTTGGGAAGTTATTCAACCTCTCTGAGATAATAGAGATAAAAATACCCATCTCCCAAGAATTGTGAAGCTTAAAGAAAAGGGGGATGTGCTTGGCATGTAGAAGGTTCTTAGTAAATGCTCATCTTGCTTTATTCTCTGTTTTGACCCCCTTCTAGTTCCTCCCATGGAGTGAGGGCCACCGTCAGTGAGGGCTGCAGCCAGGCCAACAGCCTGGAGCCCACCTGCCCCCACCACTGCGCTCTGTCTGTGGTGTTGGTGGTCCCCAGCCTGAGCACCCAGAGTGGCTTATTTACTCGGGCCACTAATTAAACTGACAGGTGAGGCTTGCACAGCCCTCAGGAGACTGAGGGAAGAGAGGGGCTGGGCAGGAGTAGAGATGTGCTTTTGGCTCATTGCACCAGTTTCTGGGTTCCTTGACTCAAATGAAGTAATAATTTCATAGCTGGCCTTCACTGAGTGTTTGTGACATGCTGAGCTCTAGGCTAAGTGCTCTACTGCAGTATCCCTTTTAGTTTTCACAATCCTGTGAGATGGGTACTACCATCTGCATTTTGTAGGTGAAGAAACTGAGACTGAGGTTAGGTGACCTGTGACTTACACAGGGACACTGCTACTCAAACCAGGTTTTTCTAACACTTAAATCTAAGTTCTTCACCACACATTCACTATGTTGCTAATGGTGCTAAAGAAGCCACCTTTTAGGGTTCATTCATTCCCATTCATCCAGAATTACAGAGATAACTTTTGCCCAGGCTTAGCATGCACCCCGATTTCCAGCCGGCCATTATGCCAATGTACACCCTTGGACAGAGTGAGGAAGACTGAGGGGATCAGAACAACCTAAATCCACAGGGGAAAACTGGACCTGAAAGCATCTCCTTACATTAAGGAAGTGCACACAAACACACACACCACTTCTATTCCTTGACTTGGGCTCTGTCTGCAGAACCAAGTATGGGCCTGGCAGGGGTGAGGGAGGTGAGGCAGGGGAGGAGACGCTTGCCACAGTGTTAACTGACTGAAGAAAAAGTCTATGATAGTGAAATTTCCAGGACCATGAGAGTCCTTCACACTCTGGCTTGTGATTAGACTGCTTTGTTTGACTTCAGCCTCGGGAGTACCTTTCTGAGCCCCGGAAGCCGCTGGACACAAGGCAGTCATGGGCCCAGAGCCTGCAATTGGGGGGGGGGAAGAGCAGAGCCAACGATTTCCAGGGGTGCCAAAGCCTTTGGGTGCATTTCATTTCTTTCTGTGTGATTCCTGATAGCTGTCTTGGGGTACCAGGCCCTCACAGTAAGTGCTATGACTTTTTCTGTAAGTATTTTGGTTTTATTCATCATTATCATAGCTGCGTCCGGGGCAAGCACTGTGCATACAGGATACTACATTTCTGAGCCTCCTAGCTTCTCTCCCTCTTCCCTCCTTCTCCCTCTTCTTGGCAAAGCCTTAAACATAGGCGGTGAAGGGGGGGCGGTAGGGACAGAGACAGAGTTCCAGCTCCTCTTTGCCTCACCCCCATCCTCCTCCTCCCTTCTTTCTCATCCCTACACTAAAGGAGTCAGGGCTGTGTCCACCAATATGCTCTGTGACTAGCAGTCAACACAATTTCATACCCAGCCAGACATTCTACAGGCATTTTAGACGATAATGTTCCCATTCTCAGTTCCTCTGTGAGAATGTGCAAGTCATTTGAAGCTCTGTGCCTCAGTTTCCATAGAAGTAAGACAAAAAGCAAGAATTGAGACTGATCTTTGTCTTGCAAGAATTCACAAGTAATGGATAATGTGCAAGAGATGTGGCTGAGTAAGAGAACTAGAACAAAGACTCGAACAATTTTCCTCTGCAACACTCTTTCCTGTGGACGAAGGGATCCCACAAAGTCATACCCCACTGGAGGCTGGAATGGCGTATGACATATGGAGTCAAGGAAAACTGACAAATGAACGCAATTGTGAAAAAAAATTCCTCCATGCCAACTGAGGCAAACAGAAAGCATGCCTTTAAGTCGTGCTTAAAGCCCATCCTAGGTGTGGGCAGATACTTTCAAAACTGTCACCCCTTTTCCCTCCTCTATGAATATCTTCATCCCCCGGCACAGTGGCCTCGCTAGCTGGTAAAAGGGTTAATTACCAAAAAGAGGGCATGCTCCCTCCAGAGTCTCCTCTGGAGCGCGCAAAAACAAAACAAAAGAAAAAACCAACTAACCACCACAAAAAACATCTTCCCTGGGAATAAATTTGAAGCTGTCAGTTCTTTAAGCCACCTTCCCCAGCCCACAGACCCGTGGTCCCTGTCTCCCCTTGCTTCGGGAAACTGGTCTGCCCCCAAGCCTCCTAAAATGAGCCATGTGCTGTGAGATGCTCATAGGGTTGGGGACTTGAAAATGAGTTTTTCTGCCACAAAAAAGGCTTAGCTTCATCTTTCTGGGTGGCCGACGGGAGACTTATAGTATCACTCTGTCGCTTTACCCCTCCTCACAATAGGCTAGAATGAGTGTGGAGAAAAACAAAGGCATTGTGGGACCAGGATGGAGTCAACTTGACAATGGGCTCTCCAAGGACACCTTCCAGCTCCCATTCTACTAGCTCTATTTGATTTTGTAGAATGCCGTGTTCCTCCAACTTATCCAACTTCTGCTTATAAAACAGAAATTAGGAGTAAGAGATTCGCACCACTAGGTCAGTGAATAATCATCAGTTCTGAAGCATTAAAATCCTTTGCCAACAAGAACGTTTCTTCTAAGGAAGGAAGCATCCTAATGATGAAGCCAGGGTCTCCAGCCCTCCCGTCTCCCTCCTCCCCTCCAGGGCTGTGCTCACTCACATCCATGGACATCTCCCTCTGCATAAGTTTCTTGGTCTCCTTTTCACAGAAGTTGAGCATGGCCTCCCGGTTGTACACACCCGTGGACTGTTTCTCTGTCTGGTTTCTCTGCCGCAGCCCCACGGGAACACTCCCATCTGGGTCCACCACGTCCAGCTCCTTCTCCAGCTCCTCCATCTCCTCGGGAGACAGGGTCTCCAGCAGGCTGTCGATGTCGGGGTCTTCACTCACCTGCCGGCGATATTTGGCTACCCTGGACATCTTGGCAAAATGGGCTATCAGAGTTCTGGTGGGCAGGGAAGGAAGAGGGGTGAGCTGATCTGGATGCAGCAGAGTGGGCTGAGGAGCAAACCCCCGGCTGGCTGAGGACTGCGGCTCCTTGGCCCTTCTGTGCTACAGGTGCTGAAGTGTTCGCCGGACGCAGCAGCCTCCCTGCAGCCCAGGGCTAGTGGACCCCGGCTGGTCTAATCGGCTGCCCATAAGACCCGACAACTGCCGGCCTGGAGAGGAGAAGCCAATCCCCAGGCAGGGGGCGGGCCCACCTCGCTGTCAGAGCTGTTTGAAACTTGAGGACATTCCAGGGAATCTTGGAGCGCTGCGTGACCAAATTTAGTACAGAGCAGTTTAGCCTTTTAAAGACAAGGGGGCACGCAATGAGAAAAAGATACAAAAATGCGGAGGCTGGCAGAAGCAGATCACAGCCACTGAGATTCAGACGAGCTGGGACGAGGTCACGGGGCCCCGTGAACTGGCCAGCCCGAGGCTCGTTCAAGAGCATATTTTACTACTCCATCACCGGGTGGACGTACCGCTGTGGTCAATGTGTGGTTCATGGACCTCCTTCTACTGTATTTGGTTATGTGCTGGGGGACTCTCAGATGTATACAGCTCCAGGAAAGACTAGATTCAAGATGAGGAGCTGTTACTCCTAACCTCCTGCCTACTCATTGTCTTTCTACCCATGTTCTGCCAAGGAGGACCTGAAGGCCGAGCATCAGAGGCTCCAGGCTCCTTTGGCCACTTCTTAAGAGAGAGACAGAAAGATAAAGTTAGAGATAGAGATAGCCAGACAGGAGAGAGAGAGAGAGAGAGAGAGAGAGAGAGAGAGAGAGAGAGAGAAAATCCCTCTCACTGTGTACCAACAGTAAAAACTGGCAGGCTGTTTGGGAAAGAAAGGAGGATCTTCAGTAGTCAGGAAACTCTGAAAAGGCTGTCACTTTCCATGAAGTTCCAAGGCTCTTAGGAAAAGGGTTCAAACCTCCCCCTGTTGTCATCTGTTTCTTCCTCTGCTGGGCATCTGTAGACAGAACTCCTCTGGGAGCACAAGGAGGAGCCAGCAAGTCATCACCCACATATAAATCCAGAGCACGATTTAGCATGTCTTCAGGGAAACAGAATTCTGGGCCGTCGGGAGAGATACTATTGCAACAGCTCTGGCATGTTTCATAGAAGGGCTTTCCACTGCTCATCCATCATGCTGCCCTGCACAAGTCACAGAGACATTCAATCCCCTGCCCCCTCCCTCCTGCCACAAAATCCCTTCTAGAAGCCCTGGTGTAACCCATCAGGGTAGCTGCTTCGATCTTTCCTGGCATCTTTCCATCCTAAGCCAGAGAGAGACAGTCACTTGATCAGCATTTGCTGAGTCCAGGGATTGTCTAGTACTAAAACTTGGCCATGGCGTTTAATGTCCACTTGTCCAACTTTAGGTTAAGGCTGAAGAGGGGAATGGTGCCCACTGTGGGGAGTGAGGGAGAGAAGGAAGGCAGGCAGACTTGATAGGAAGAGTGGACAAAGACTTTAGAAAACCTAGGGTTGTCATTTTAAGAGTCAGTGGCCAATTTATTGGTCAGTCAGAAAGTATATATTTATTGAGTGACTTCTTGAGTGCCTAGTATATGTCAGGCATTGTTCTAAGAGCAAGAGATATAACTAAAGATACAAAATCAGGACAGGTGCAATGGCTCATACCTGTAGTCCCAGCATTTTGGGAGGCCAAGGCAGGAGGATTGCTTGAGTCCAGGAGTTCAAGACGAAGCTGGGCAACATAATGAGACCCCCATCTTTCAAAAAAAAAATTAGCCTGGTGTGTTGGTGAGCATCTGTAATCCCAGCTACTCAGTGCATTGAGGTGGGAGGATTGCTTGAGCCCAGAAGGTTGAAGCTGCAGTGAGCCATGATCATGCTACTGTACTCCAGCCTGGGCAACAGAGCAAGACCCCATCTCAAAAAATAAATAAATGAATGAATAAAGAGAGAAGCACAGGGGCTATGGGAAAACCCAACAAGGGAAGGTTGGATAGAAGTATGATTTAACAGTGAAGCATTTGGGCCTTTGAGACTAACAGACCTGTGTTTGGTTCTGAAATTGCTACTTACAGGCCACGTGACTTGGGCAATCTACCTTCTTTCCTGAGACTTGAGTTCATCTGTAAAATAACGATAACAGTTATACCAGCCTTGTACAATTGTTGTGGTTATTGAATTAGTTCTTACACATGAAAACATTTCATTGATATACACAATACATAATAAACACCATATTTATTAGTAATTATTATAATTATTTATTTACTAGTGTCGTGGGTTCTTTTCTCCCCATCCCACCTTTTCTTTTTTTGTTTTTGATAGAGTTTCACTCTGTCACCCAGGCTGGAGTGCAATGGCGTGATCTCGGCTCACCGCAACCTCCGCCTCCTGGGTTCAAGCAATTCTCCTGCCTCAGCCTCCTGAGTAGCTGGG